TGTTCTTCTGCTGAGAAGACAGTCGGACAGTGTGAAACAATACAGAACAATAACCCTGTGGCTCATATCTTAGTTATAAATTCAGAGGAAATGTTGGTAGTTAAGGAGTAGTTGGCATGCTCTTAATAAGACTGAAACATTTATTGCTTGGTAATATTTGACAAATAGTAGAACCAACTATATTAGTTATGAAGCTATTATTAATGTTATTGTGCTAAGGGCTAACAACAGAAAGCAACGACCATGGCGCGTGTTGGGTCGGGTTAGGAGTTTGGTAAGGAAGTGAAAGCAGCGTGTGTCAGAGGTGAAGGGGTTGCACTGAGGTCCAGCTGATCTGTGAATCACAGAATATACCATGGAGCAGGAAATGAGCAGAATAGGAACACTTTCAGTATTCGGGTGCTTTCTAAACAGGCAGCTGTTGTGTTTGGGTGTGTAGCTGTGTGTGGTTGCTGAGTTCGGGTGACGAGGACTGGAAGAATGTGAAAAGTTTTTAAAGGACAATAGAAGACTTGTGACCATTAATAGATGTGCATATGGAGCCACTGCTGACTGTGCTCACTTGGATGAAGTACAAAAACAAAAGCAGCACAAACCCTGATTTTTGTTCTCGTGCTCAGTACATGCAGCGCATGTATTTCAGCCCCCTGTCCCTGAGTGGCAGCTCAGCACACTGAATCCGGATCCTGCTGCGTGTCCGGCCACTTTAGCGGCCCACTCATGTGTCCCGCTAGCCAAGTGGCAGCGAAGGAGCAGAATGACTGCTGTTGTGCCCCGGCCAGTCATGTGACAGCTTTCGTGTGGCTGAATGACTAACACCCCCCCCCCCCCCTCAGCCGGGTGGGCTGCAGCTGAAGGGAGGAGAATCAGCTCGCTTTCTCTGGGGCCCGACATGGTGAAGCATGTCGCTCGTGGGAACACTGCAATTTTGTGCTGGTAAAGAAGACTTAAATCACAGGTTTCAATTACACGCTAAGGTCATCGTGAGTATTTTGAGACTCCCTCGCAGTTTTATGTACAGATCACCCAAACTGGAAAAACATTAGTGCAGACAGTTGTGTTTCTAGGACAAGTTGAATTTACTGTTAGGTTTGTGACCTGCTGGTTTGTAGTCCGTAGGTGTACCGTGCTGCTGCTGACTGTGAAAACCTGAGACTTCACAGGAAAGAAAGTGTCAAACCATCATCCTGTTGTCCTCATATCTTTGTTTTCTCTCATTTCCTGTCTCTTCAGCTACTTCTTTTTCTGTTTTTGTATCGGCTAAGAAACAGAGTAGCCAAAGCACCCACCTCCACCCACACCTACACCATTTAGATGTTACACCAGGCTGTCCTCGATAAATATCTACCCTTATACATTTTTGCACTTTATCTAGACAAAGTCAAAAGCTGCGCATTAAGGAATGCATCTTTTTCAGGTCATTTCCCATCATACCTTGCTTCGTGCTTATTGATCTTAAGCAGCTGACTATCACCAGAGAAACCACTCAGACATTCCGTGAAGGCCTAATTCAACCGACGACAGGAAGTGTTCATGTAAGAGACCCCCCAAAAAACCAACAACAGCAGCAGCACCGTTCAGCGTGGGCGTCTGCTGTTGCAGAACAAACAGTTGCATCACATCAGCAAAGCCCGCCTGCACTTGTAGTGTCACCGTTGATCCGCTCCAGCAATCAGCAAAGCCACAGAGGCAGATTAAATTAGATTAGCAGGACTGAGCTTTAAAGTCAGATCAGCAGCTAATGGCTTCTAACATATTTTGGCAGCAGCAACAGTGCGTCTTTTGTAAATAAAGGGCAGTTAGGAGGAGTGCCACGCAGTTAACCCCAGCCCTGCTGCCACACAATCACTCCACTGTGTAATTCCGCTGTCAGTCAGAGATCTGGCAACCACTGCGAAGTTTATTCACGCCCGCGTGGAGATTAACTTGTGGGGGAAAAAAAGAAAAGTAGCGTGTCAGAAATGGTCTGTGTGTGCTTTATTTCTCGCACTTTTGCTCCCTGCACTTTTGAGTTAACAAATGAATGCAAGAAGAGCTTGGTGCTAGCATTGTAGATACAAAAGAGAGCCTCTGTTTTCTTTTATAACCAGTGTGTGTGAGCAAAATACATGGGTTTTTCTTTAACTACAGGTGGTAGGAAAGTACGCTGTGTGGAACTATAATAAACTTCAGCAACCTCAAAAGTATCTAATGTATTAAGACAAGTCAAAGGTAGATCTGAGTATTGGATGTGGACCAGTTCGTGTGAGTGGGCATACATGGTCACGCTCCTCTCCTTATCATACCTGGGGACAATATGTAGCTAAGACCAAAGAAAAAAGAAAATGAGCTGCAAACAGACAGAAGAACAGAATAAAGTGAATTTGAATGATTGGAGGTGACAAGAAAGTCTAAAGCTGTTGTATTACATTTTTCCACTTATGGCTTCCATGGATTTCATTCATTGGTTTCATTTAAATTTGACTTAAAAGATAAAAACTCATTTTAAATATTTTTAGGCTGAGTTTTCACAAAACCTACCAAAACCCATATTATAATACTTATTACAGAGTGGCACTGCCGAGAAGGTCTGGGTTTTGAATCCACCATCTGGCCAGGCCCTTTCTGTGTGGAGTTTGTGTGTTCTCCCTGTCTGCATGTGCTCTCTCTGGCTGCTCTGGCTTCTTCCCACAGTCCAAAGACATGCCTGAGCTTAGGTTAACTGAAGATGCAAAGTTGGCTGTAGCTATGAATGTGAACGGTTTTCTGTCTCTGTGTTTTGGCCTGTCCAAGGTGTACTCTGGCTCTTGCTTTGTGCCGCCTGGGATTGAGGGGAGCAGCAGCCTAAGCAGAGAAGCCCAGACCTCCCTCTCCCCAGCCACCTCCTCCAGCTTGTCCAGAGGAACACCGAGGCATACCTAGGCCAGCCGAGAGATTTAAGCTCTCCAGCGTGTCCCAGGTCTGCCCCGGGGCCTCCTGCCGATGGGACATGCCTGGAACACCTCACCCAGGAGGCTCCCAGGAGGCATCCTTGTCAAATGCCCGAACCACCTCAACTGGCTCCTTTTGATGTGGAGGAGCAGCAGCTCTACTCTGAACCCCTCGCGCATGGCTGAAATCCTCACCCTATCTCTAAGGGAGAGGCTAGCCACCTATTTCCACCGCTTGTATCCGCGATCTCATTCTTTTTGTCACTACCCACAGCTCGTGACCATAGCTAAGGGTAGGGACGTAGATCGACCGGTAAATCAAGAGCCAAGACCTTCCATTTTACACTCAGCTCTCTCTTCAGTACAATACACACACACACACACACACACACACATATATATATATCCTCCAGAGGCACAGTATATGTCCATACAGTGGTCAAACCATACTTTTGCGAGCATGTCTGCGGTCACAGCAGCCACTGCTGTTGTTATTCTACCTACCAGCAACCACCCTTATATTTTGCTTCCATGCGCCAGATTTTCCTATAATTTTTAGAAGTGGTCATGAATAATAGTTATCCAGGCTTCAGAACCTAACTCAATCAACCAGCATCTGGTCAACACATAACAGAAAATCTAGCAAGTTGAATCTATGAAAAATGCAAACAGTAATGCAATTTGACACTGAAATTGTATTTTTTGCACCAACAAAGTGATTCCCTGATAGCTATTAAGAGGGGGAAATTGTACATATGTTCAGTCTAAAGCCATCTGTAAATGACAAGGAGCAGAATTTCCTACTAGGGAAGCCAGGAGAAGTATTCCGTTATAATACAGACTTTAAATATATCAAATATGGACTTTCAAGCTCTTCTGTACAACCTTTTTTTTCCTTTTCTGTACAACCTTTATTTTGCCCTATATTATACATCCTAAATGTAATAAACATGCAAACACGTGGAATGCACATATATAAAATAACTGCATAAAATTTACCGAATTGAGAGGTGGCTGCACAGTACTGTATGTGTGTTTTACTTTAGGCACTTTAAGTTGCTTTTGTTGCAAAAGCTGTTCAATAGAAAATAATTTCAGTAGCTTAAGCAGTGGCACTCTTTACATAATAACAGGGCACAGGAGCCTGAAAAATCGTAGCCAATCCCAGGACGGCAATGCCCAAAAAGTCAGATCCTCCTCCTGTCTTGCTGGATTCACATGAAGAGTGAAGGTTTATTAGTCTGTGGACGTAAATAGGCATGTAGAAAACTATAAATGTTATGTTTTCTACATAGCATTTATTTCCTCATTTCCTGTGCTCCCCACCCTGTGCTACCCCATTAAAAAATCCCTCCTCCTCTGAGGCAGTTTGAAGCACAGAACAAAAGTGGAAATCAAGTTGTAACTTTAAAAAATGCAGTAAGAGCTACAAACACTAGTAAAGTTGCATTAGACTGTATTATTATAAGCAACATTTTCTTATTCCAGCATCATTCATGCTTAGAATGCAGTCAAGCCTCATTCAGTGGCAGATGGCAGTGAGGGATGATGTCCTACATTTAGCAGCATCGTCTCATTTGCACCTGGACGAGTGAATGAATAGATTTCCAGAATGCACCTGCTGGAGAGGCTGTCAGAAATGGGGCCACCACACAGGCCTGTGATTAAAGCCAGCAGTTCCTGCACCCTTCACACTAACCTGTTGTTGACTAGTTGAATGTCACAAATACAGTGCCGCCATGCTGCTGTGTAAGGGGGGATTGCAGTTTCTGTTCTGCTAATTGGATCGAGGTCATTCATTCCAGCTGGACACATCTGCTGCTTTGTTTTGTTTTGTGTCTTTTGTGTGTGTGTATGTGTATAAGACCCATTTTCCGCAGACTATCGTGAATGACGAGGTCTGGCACATACGCAGTTGATATTCATGTTTTATTGAATCGCAACAATGAATAATTGAGCCTCTGTGTGTCTCCGCAGGGCCTCTGTTTTGGCGAAGCACAACGCAATGTGGAGGAAATAAAGATCCTGATACGCTGAAAACCCGAGGTATGAGTCTTCACACTCCACTGGACATTTGTAAGCTGACACAAACACACTTGTGGATGAACTCGGCCGTGTTTACTCTCTTGCTCACACACACACACACACACACACTGCCATGTGAAAATAACCTCATAGCAGATGGCCCACAAAACCTGCTCATTCTGGAGGATTTTCCTTCAATGGATGTGGGTCATAAGGATACTAGAGCAAGCGGACACACATGCATTAAAGCACATGCGTACACATGAAGCGGAGATAGTTGCCACAAGCTAACCTGCTGTTCCAAGTAGGCGCTCATACCTGTGGTGCGTTAGCTTGGGGCGTGCAGCATAATAGTGGTGCGCCACTGATGTTGTTACAAGTCTGACCTGCAGGTCAACAGCTGCCACCAGCTAAAAGCTAAAGTGTTGGATTCCTTCTTGACCTCCATTTCTGCTGCTGCCATCTTTAATCCGCAGTACAGCACTAAGGTCAACCTGAAAAATTCCTGCGGGAGTAAAGGTAAGGTCAGCTGGTGCCCACTGCAACCTCTCCTCAGCTCTGACACATCAGTCCTGTGTGTGTGTGTGTCTGTTCTCTTAGTCCCATGCTGCATATATCCGGGGGTAAAACTGCAGCGGAAAAAAACATGTTCCCATTATTTCCTAATCCGAGTGTGGCTGCTAGGTTAGACTGGAACATGACGGTACTTATATTAGATTGGTTTTCGACAGCCAGCAGCAGCACTGTGTTCTTTGTCTCCTTCTTGGAGTCCACAGTGCACAAGCACGTGATACGTTTTGTTTTTTTGTTTTTTAAGTGAGCACAATGTTGCATAAAAAATGCACTTTGTTCCTTTGTGTGGGTTTTGTGAAGGAGGGATCTGATAAATAACAATGTGGGAATGGTAGAAAGTGCTGATAAGAGAGCCCCCATCATGTATGACAGAGAGTTAGAAAAGAGCATAACTGACATTAGACTCTGCCTTTGATCATTGTTTGACGTTGTACTGTGGTTGCCTGAGGCTAGCAACTACTGTAACTGAGCTGAGATGCATGGCGCAATAAAAGTTGTACTCTAGTATCGTTACCGTTGTCGTTATTCGTTGATACACTTGGACCGAACTGGCCGCACTGGACTGATACAGAATTCAAATTGTTTAATTTATTTAATGCTTTTCATTTAACATAAACAGTAAAACTTTGTAAACAGTAAACCTGATATTGCTTCTTGAAATCTAGAAGAAACATTGCAAAGACCATTGTACTGCGTAGAAACATACGTCTATGTCTACCTTGATGTTCAGGAGTCCAGGATCTGCAGAGACAAAGGACAGGAGTTGACTTTTAAAGCATGTACTTCATCGGGATTCCTACTGTGATCACAAATGTTTAAGTCAAGGGTTGAATGTCACATGTTTATGTCTTGAAGTTGTAGTTCTGGAGGTCCAGAGGTTAAAAAACCCTTTGTATTAGTATTTATAAGAACTTTGTAGTGGATAGCACCACCAGAGAGGAGCATGAAAATAGGATAAAAACATAAAGATGGAAGGACTGACGTATATCAAAGGATTTCTGTAGCATTCAGATGGATGTGCCTTACATGATTATTCAGGTTGCTGCATTTCCCATTAATGGTTCTTATGAATGCTTTATCCTTTAACTTTTCACTGTCCACTTAAGATAGACTTGGAAATTTTTCATATATGAATATATGAAGCCCCTTGAGGCGACTTTTGTTGTGAATTGGCGCTATATAAATAAAATTTAATTGAATTCAATTGAAATATATGTTTATATATTTAGCTGTTTCAACTTAATTGAGGATCTCCATACAGGAATTTTTTCACTGTTGACCTTAACATGTCCTATAATTTGTTTGTAACTGGCTTTGTAGAAATTCAATATGTAAAAACAGAGGATGACCCTGTAGATCATTAAGAAGACAACAGAAAGTCATTTTATCTTAATGGAAACTTACCTGCAGCCTAAATGAAGCTAAATGAACCACAATGGAAGTCGAAAATTAAGGCTAAATTAATGGTATTTCAGTCTGTGAAATTCTAGTATTTCACAGACTGAAATACTAGAATTACTCTTGAACTTCAGCATTTCCCCAGTTAGCCAGTTGCACTGCTTGATCTTCACTTTGCCAGTCACCGTGTCTTAGTTTAATTTAAATGACATCGGTGGTGGATGTTTGACCTTGCAGAAGTTTTATTCATATATGCACAGAGAACTTTTTTTACATATTCTTCTTTTTCTTGTAGCTTTACTTGCTAATATAAAATGTCTCAATATTTCACTGTGTCCCCTACTTACAAGCCAAGTGTTTCACACCCAGTTTTTCACGGGTGGAAAAAGAAGTCGAGGAGGGGAGATGTCATTGTCTTTTTGCAAACTCACAGTTACATTAAGATCTGGTGTCAAATCAGAACTACAGAAATACTTTATTATGTAACTTTATTATATTAAAAGCTGTTTTAAATGTGTAAAGATGAGTAATGAGAACAGTAGGCTGATATGAGTTGATGTTTCTAGCTTTTGTGTAAAAGCTTGTACCAAATAGGTGATGCTAGTTATGGGATGAGTGGAAAATCAGATTGCACTAGTATTTTTTCATCCTCTGTGGAGGTTGAGACAATGTGTCAAAGGCCTATCTGTGCTAAATGCTAAAAATTATATTCCAGGGCAGTTTCTGTGAAGTCACAGGATGTTCTTGACCTACTATTAGTACCGAAAAGATGTCAATGCCTGGACTTGTCCAGAACATTTGACTTTGTGATTTCTTCCTCGTTGGAGTTTCCAATCCAGAGCCAGCCTTTCACAAAGGAGACACATTGTAATAAAAAGGCAAAAACAAAAAACAAAACAGAAGAGCAGCAGAAGAGTAGCTATAAATGGAGAGCAGGGTTTTAGGGGTAAATTTCATCAATGGTTGAGTGGAAAAACACTTAACAAGGGCATTCTTCCAGGAAACTGGAGTCAGCTGAGCAAGTGTATTCATTATGCAAGGTTCAGTCAGATTTACTCTGATAGCTCCTTTATTTTGTGTACCCCAGTTTCCTGTGACGCTTCGGCATGTTTCGATGGAGCGTACAGCCTGGGCTTGTCGGAGAGCGGAGTCACAGTTTGGCATGTCTCTTTTTTTTTCATTTTCTGTTTAGAACCTCTACTGTAGATGTGAGGCGGTGGTTGAAATGTGAGAAAGAGCGATGCAGCGAGCGTCAGAAGAAGCTGTGCAGAACTTCAACTGTAGCACATCAAGAGCATCCTCGTGGTGGGAGCATGGAGCTCGCGAGTGTGTCTGTGCTTCAGCGTTCTTGCTGAGTGGGTGTGATTGTAGGCTGGTGAGAAACAGCAAATGAGTCACCAATTCCAATCGTGTTTTCAAGCTTCTGCTCCGTCTCTCAGAGAGTTTCTGCACTGTACAGAGAAGCGAGCTACAACAGCATGTTATCGTGACGTCGTCCCCGTCCCAGACATTGATATGCATTTCAGCAATCACTTGCAGCCATGGAACAAATGTACACTTGTGCCTTGAGCCTTTAAATCTCAAGAGCTAACTGTTAAACCGCTCCTCCTCCCAGCTTGTTACCTCCACGATAATGGCCATGCCAGTGTGGGCTGGGCAGCTATTCACTGAAATGTTGGTGTTGCCCTCAGTCTGCGGTTCCATTGTGGTTTCCAGTTTTTCTGATGGTAAGGAGATGCAGTTGGGGGTGGAAGTGGTGGCGCTAATGAACAGCATTAAGCTCCACTCTATTATATTGACACATCTGGTGGCATTTTTCATCCGCTTGCTTTCCGTCCTCAGCCTAATTAAGTGATCTGGGCTGCAAACTAAAGCATACCCACTGTAGAACACACAGGAAGCACTCTACACTAGCTCTCTGAGCTTGTTAACCAGCCTTGAAGTGACTTTGTGAAACCTCAGTATAATACGTCAGTAGCAGATTCAGCCTCAGACTTCTTTTGCCCACTCGATGGCTGTCAATTATCCAACTTTACAGAAAGAACTTTCCTCAGGTGCTGTGTCTGAGGAGATGTCAGTGAATTAGCAGCAGCAGCAGTAGTGTTCGACCACACTAAGGCGTCAGCTAAGTGCGCCGGACCCTTGGATCATCAGTCAGTACCAGTCAGGTAATGAGATCTGTCTTAGCTTCTGCTTTGTAGAAACCGTGCTAGCAGAATTCTGCTCATGTGTTTATCAGTTAATGTAATTATCATCAGGGGAATGTGGCTGCCTTTTCAAACTTGTTATGGACTCTCCAGATATGTAGAACACTTTTTTGGTTTTAGAATAGGACTGTTTGCTGGTTTTCGAATTTTGATCAAACTAAAGTTCAAGTTCAAGTTCAAAGTTTATTCGCCACATGCAGTGGCAGGTTGCCCTGCAGTGGAATGAATGAGCAATCTGAGCAAGACCTTAGGGCTTTAACGGAAATGTACCTCTTATTTCTCACATTACATCAGCAGCTTGTATCAGTATCATTCTTGACTGACCAGATTTAACCACATACTTAGATTCTGTTGGTGGAATATGTATGTAGGACCGTGTGACACAAGTTTAAACAGCTGCAAGCCAATTGAGCAAAGTTCACCAAAAAAACACAATTTACTGCTTGTTACAGGCAAAATACGGCATAGCCAAATCATGGATTCCGTCACTAGACCACATTTGAAAACCTGGCTACTATGTTATCCAAATTTCTAGCATTGGGAAATGTACTTTTATGATTAAGGTTAAATACTCTTTCTTTAAAAAGATGTGGGGAATTTTTTTTTTGTTGTTTTTAAAATGTAAACATACGACTGACGATGAACAAATATAATTGTACTCATTTGATTTAAATGGGAGATGTAATTTTGTTACTTTTTAAAGAAAGCCCAAGGAACCTACATATACAAGACTGTTCAATAAAAGGGTAAGAAGTGAAGATGTGGATGTCAAACTCAGCTAAAAACAGCTCATTACTGCAGCCACATTATCTGATGCCTTTGGACTAAACTCCAGGCTGCAGCCCTGATGTCACAAACTTTAAACCTGTTGTCTCACTGCGTTGTACCTGTTTTTAATACGTGTGTGTGTGTGCGTGTATATATATATATATATATACATACAGTTTTTAAATTTAATGTTGCTGAAACAACAAAGGGATAAAATAATAAATCTATCTGATCGAGAAATCACTCATCTTTGGAAAAGAGAGTTTATTACAGAGAAATGTCTCTTTCCAAAATAAAAGCTATACTATAGGCTTCTTCTGG